TATATATATATATATATATACATACATTTTATTTTAGTTTATAAGTAATAACCGTTAATGATTTTTAGAAAGTTTTTTGAAAGTTTAAAAATTAAGAAATAATTCCATTTCTCTGTTCTCTTTTTCATTATTATTCAATTTAGTGTTGAGAAAACGCTTTTAAAACTGAGTAAAAATTGTCCAACTATAATAAAATGGCCATAGATTATTTATCATCAATAGTCTATTAATAATCTTTATATTCTAAAGCTATAGCTCTAACTAAATTGTCATTACTTTTTGAAATTTTTACATTTTTAGGTCATCAATTTTTCTCTATCCATTTCTACTTCTAGCTTTATATTCAAATACAAATCCTAATCTTAATCAATAATTTATATTTTGATAATTATTCGCTGGTAACAAAATGTAAACACACAACAGGTACGTACCTGAAACAGGTTCTAAAACGCGCCGCTAAGGTAGGCTTTTAGTTAGGCTTAAGTTCCTCTCCTGAAAGATCCCTACGAAGCCATAATTTGACAAACAACTAATTAGTAAGATGAAATTCAATCATCCTCTACAATAACACACCCTAAAAATTGCGATAGACGTATTGCGCATGCGCGGAAAATTGGCTGGAAAACGATGGGCTGACGCGTACAAAATATGATTTTTAGATATGATAAAATTAATAATTATTATTAAAAAGTAATAATATCGATAATGGGATTTAACCTTGGTTTCTTAGAGTGGCTATTCTTTCCCTTAACTTGAATTGGAATTTAGAAGTTTTAGAATTTCTGCGGAGGGAGGAAACCGGAGAACCCGGTAAAAAAACACTCGAAGCACAGGAGAGAACCAACTATAGCATCTCTACTCACATACACTACGATCACCAAGTTTAGGAATTAAACCCTGGCCATGGTCGCATTGGTGAGAGGCGAGCGCTCTGACCACCACGCCACCCGTGCTTTCCATATTTATGTCTAATAAAACAGCCTAACTAAACATTATTTCTATTCTTAGCTTACTGCTGATTCACTCAAAGAGTTTAAAACAGTACTGTTGAACAAGTTGGACAAGAACGGCGATGGAAAGATCGATAAGAATGAGGTTTGTGACTTGTATGAATCAGTAGTTGTTCAGACCACGTCATCTTCTTGCGAATGAAAAATATATATTAAGCTTTAGCTATTGTACCACAGCGTGGAACACTAACAACAGAGCTAGGCTCCAACCAAGTGAAAGCCCAAAGATCGAATTGGAATTTAGAAGTTGATTTTTGAGGAGGAAGGAAAACCGGAGAACCCGGAGAAAAACCCTCGAAGCACATGAGAGAACCAACGAACAACCAACGAACAACGAACAAACGAACAAAAAACGAACAAAAAACGAACAAACGAACAACAAACGAACAACAAACGATCAACAAACGAACAACAAACGAACAACAAACGAACAACAAACGAACAACAAACGAACAACAAACATCAAGGTAAATAGGTCCTTAGATACAACTGAAAAGCATTCTTAGTTTTTTACTAATATAAACTATCCTTACAGCTGAGAGCCATATTGCCGACCCAGGCAAACTTCTTACATCAATTCTGCCAACATGGAAAAACGATCTGTGGAGTGGATTTCTTTAAGGTGCGTATACATATGAATGATACAACATCGTGGCACCGCAGGCAACCCAATCGAAAATCGGATCACTTAGCACTAAGTAGTCATTATTGTTTTTATAGATTTGGAATCACTATGATGTGAACAGCAATGGCAGTCTCGAAGGAACTGAATTAGACGTAAGTGAAAGTTCAGCACTAGAACTGTTTTCGTATAAGTAGGAAACGTACAGCACGTACACGGTACGACATGCCGTAACATTGAAATGGCTTCCCGTAAGAATGGCACCATATGCCGTAACATTGAAATGGTTTCCAGTAAGAATGATACRATATGCCGTAGCATTGAAATGGCTTCTTCCAGTAATTCGGTACTTCCAGTTATGGTAAGATACGGTACGGCTACGAATTTGTCGTATCGTTTCCCACTCAACCGAAAACCGTCCCAAAAGACTTAACGGAAATTGATCCTTGTTCTTATCTTAAAGAATTTCCTTCGTGACTTGATCCTAAAAAATCGCCCAAAAACGAATCGAAGCCTTAGTGATGAGGAGCTGGCAAACAAGATCAAAATTCTTCATAATGCCTTGGTAAGTTTGACACTATAAGAATTTGGTACACAAGAAAGTCAATCGAAGAAAGCTAGTGATAAAGAGTTTGCACAAAGGAAACCCGAGCGATAGAGCTTGGGATTTATTTTACGTCGAACATGCAGGAATTGAAACAGTCCAGGAATCGAAACCTGGTCGCAGTGAGCACAGGAGAGAATCAACAACAAACTCTACTCACATACACCGATCGAGTCCAGGAATCGAAACCT